CAAAATTCTTTGTCATCATCCAAGAAATCAAAGGAATAGCAAGCTTCTTTGAACGTAGGAAAAATGACATCATTCACAGTTCTCAAATCTACATAACTTTTAAAACCCTTTTGAGTATTCAACAACATCCTTAGGTAGTTACCATCTCCATTCTTTGGCGGAACATGATTTAATCTTCCAATAGAAAATCCTTTTTTTCTAGGATGCCATTGACTAGTGTCTTCTTAGTAGACAAATTTAGTTGGAAATTATGCATATGTCAAATGCCTTCCTTCTTCATAATATTGTTATCCTCTATCCATACGTCAAACATTGATTTTTTATCCATAGCTTTTGTCATAATGTCAGTAATTGAGTTGTCATCGTTAAACACAATTGATTTTTGATCAAGAAGGTAGAATGACAACCTTTGCACTAGAGGATATCTAAAATGAATATCAAAGCCAAAAATTCTCCAAAGCACCTCACATGAAGAAATATATCTACATTTAGTATAATTGGAACATAGAATTAAAAACTATGTAATTAAAATTTAACGACACATATTATTAGATGCAGTGAGGAAGAAATAGTTTGCTCATGCCTACATAAACATTTTGATCTCATCAACAATTGTTGTTGTTTGATTGTTTGTAGTAGAATGATGAAGACTTGTTGTAATTCGATCATTGCCCTTGTGTATGTATTTGAATAGATACTTTATAACACTGCTTTGGCACGTATATTCTACATTAATATGAGTTTGATACTTCAATAGCAATTTAGCATTATATGGGACAACATATCGATTATCAATATGGACTCCCTTTTTTGCTTACCATTATACCATCATCCCCCTTTTGTAACGAGGAAAACCTTCTTCATCAATTGTAGTTCTAGATAAAAATTTCTTAGGGAAATGTTTGGTACACTTCCCATCATTCATGCAAGGTGATTTTAGGTTTTCCAGACCACATGGACCATGTATCATAAAATTCTTAACAACTTCATGAAGAGGAGGATTATCATTTGGATTTGGAATTTTCGCAAAAACAAGGGAATCGATGTCGCATAGATTTGATGGTTTATCATGCAGAAGTAGAAATAGAAGAATGTGAGCATGCGACAGTCCTCACTTTTGAAATTCAACAGTACAAACATCTAAAACAAATATAATAAAAGAAATATCCATAAACAACAGCAAATTATGGACGAACTTTTGTGGAAAAGCTCGTTGGTTGACAAACAATTATAAATGGAGGGATAAAGTAAACTTACATGCATTGACTCTCCCTAAGTGTTGGCCTTTAGTTAAATTGTTCAACAATTGGTCTAGCTTGATCTTGAACACTCTACAAAGAATGTCGGGACAATCTTCTGGTCGAAGGCCTTTGTCTTTCACGAATCTCATAATTTATGGCCATCTAGATTTGCATGCAATGGTGATGAAGAGGTTGAGGTATCTCATAATCTCTTCATTAGTCATCTAGATGTTCTGAGATGAAAATCGCTATTCAAAATATTGAAAATAAAAATATTAAAAAATGGCTGACCTTTTTTATTCAGAAAGATATTAATTTTTATTAATTTATTATTATTATTGTTATTGACGGGTACAAAATTAGGCTAATTGATGAATTTGGTGTCTAAATTAAGAAACGGAAAAAAGTCAAATAAATAAGAGTTTTTTTTATTTTTAAATCTTAGTTAATAAATTAAATAAATTATGATTAGTTTTAATTTAAATTAAAATATAATGAAAATTTGTACCCAAAAAAAAATAATGCAAATAAAATTAAACTAATTTAATTAATATATTATAAATAAGTGTTTATTATTGCAATACCACTAGAATTAATATAATAAATTAAAAAGATCATGATTAACTTACCAAAAAAAAAAACACATGATGATTGGAAAGATTTCAAAATGTAAGATATATGTATAATGTATGGATCAATGTGATTAGCTATCACTAATAGGAGAATATCTTTGTTATGTCAGATGTACCAAACTCGACATATCTTTTTTTCAAATTTGAAATTTTTTTCACCATTATTGAAATTTTTGTTTCCCACAACATTACAAATTATTCTAAATTTGAAAAAAAGATGTACCGAGTTTGGTACATCTAGACCAAAGATATTTTCCACTTATAGGAATTATTTAGTTTGAATATTGTATTTTTTTTTCATTAATTCACATAAAACACTTGAAAATTCAAATATACATAAGTTATTAAGTCAAAATGGCCTTAATAAACAACACTAAATTTACCTTGATTATTTCATTATCTAATTTTTATTTCATCCGAAATAAAACCTTCTTTCTGTTTTTTACCATTTTTCTAATATTAAATTAAATTAAATTAGTGTTACGTGATAAAAGTTAGGCTGCCTCCATAGTCTGATAACCTTAACTTTGATCCTCCGTTACTCTTTGGATGGTGTCAAATCACGAATGAAATCAAATCTCGTAGTCATTCCAGTAGATATTGAAACACAAAGTTTGATCAATAAACAATTTGATGTATCCTATTTAATGAGTCAGCCGAGTCAGCAAATTGAGCTTATGATATGGGCTTCACTCATCATATGGATGTTTCTATTTTTCATTTTATTTTTATTTTGCATATAATTTTCGTTTCTATTTAGTTCCCATTAAGGGTATATATTATTATTTTTATTAATTTATTATTATTATTGTTACTAACCAACATTCAATTTTGTTTCTCATTTAGTTTTTGTTTCTCATTTAGTTTTTGTTTCTCAAATACTTTTCGATTGAAACATGAATTTCGTTTCTCATTTAGTTTCCTTTTGAAAATTACATTTTCGTTTGAATTATAGTTTTCGTTTTATCGACACACAAAATTTGACCAATGAATAGATTGATGTATCCTATTTAATGAGTCAGCCAAGTCAGCAAATTGGGCTTATGATCATATGGGCTTGACTTATCAGATGAATGTTTTTGTTTTTCAGTTAATTTTCGTTTTACATATATTTTCGTTTCTATTTAGTTCCCATTAAGGGTATATATTATTATTATTTTTATTAATTTATTATTATTGTTATTATTAATCAGTTAAGTGTGAAAATAATTTTCATTTAATTTCCTATTTGCATATAATTTTCATTTCTCATATAGTTTTCGTATTTCAATTATTTTTTGATTGAAATATAGTTTTCGTTTTATCAAAACACAAAGTTTGACCAACGAACAGATTAATGTATCTTTTTTAATGAGTCAGCCGAGTCAGCAAATTGGACTTATGATATGGGCTTGATTCATCATATGGATGTTTTCATTTTTCATTTAAATTTTGTTTTGCATATAATTTTCGTTTCTATTTAGTTCTCATTAAAGGTATATATTATTATTATTTTATTAATTTATTATTATTATTGTTATTAACTTGTTAAGTGTGAATTTTTTTTAATTTAATTTCCGATTTGCATATAATTTCTGTTTCTAATTTATTTTCCATTTGAAAATTATATTTTCGTTTGAAATATACTTTCCGTTTTATCTAAAGACAAAGTTTAACCAATGAACAATGAGTTAATATGAGTTTTACTCATCATATGGATGTTTCTATTTTTCATTTAATTTTTGATTTGTATATAATTTCCGTTTCTATTTAGTTTCCATTAAGAGTATATATTATTGTTTTTATTATTTTATTATTATTATTGTTATTAACTGATTAAATGTCAAAAATAAAATTGGATCACGAGGTCTACAGTAGACATGTGACATTTTCTTCTCATTATCATTATTATTGACCGGTTTAGTGTGAAAACCAAACTGGCTCATGGAGTCTAAAACTAACACTATGGTATTTTTGTTCTCTAATAGTTTATCACTTCTAGTTATATATAGATACTGAGGGTATAAAGAAAGAGACCAACTTTTTAATTGTGACGGATTAAGACGCCTATACATATAAACTTTGTAATTCTAACAATTTATATTTCATGAATTTCTGTACCAAAAAAATGAAAATCGTGATTTTCTTAAAACTGATCAAATACTCAATGCGTTATTCACTACTTTTTTGGTTTTTCCAAAAATAAGAAAATTATTTATTTTTTGGCTGGAAAAAATAAATTGAATCTTTAATCAATCAATTAATTAAAAGATTTGGTAGTGAAATGATTAGAATTCAAATGACATTTTAGTAAGTAAATCAATTATTCAACGCGTCATTCGCGACTTTTATAATTTTATTGTTTTTCCAAAAATAAGTAAATTAAATTTTTTTTGGCTGGTAAAATTAAATTAAATTTTTTTGGAAATAATTAAAGGAAAAAACAAATATTATGCTGATTTGTCTCAAAGAGATAATTAGGATCATTTTTAAAAAATATAAATAAATAAAAATAAAATAAAATAAAAGTGCAAACCAATTATTCTCCTACTCATCGATCATTAAGACTAATATTATTATTATTATTATTAGTATCAGCATTTATAAGTGACATAATTAATCCATCATTCTCTTCAAAAAAAAATTCTTTTAGATTCTTTTAATTTAAATGGTAAACCAAATTTTTATTTTTTATATTAAAAATTAAATATTTGATTTAATTTTTATATAATATGGTACAGTATCATATCATATAATATAACAAGATATAATATTTTATCGTTGGATATAAATTCCTTCCTGATGTATGCTACCAGGTTGAATTTATGGACATATGAATAGTGTCATATTATGTGTCCCATATATATATATATATCTACCGAAAGATAGTGACAAATTTGACAGAAAAAGACAAAATTGTATACAACTTTTTCTGCGTGGTCTAAGTCTTTGCTCCACCAAATATAATATAAATTAAAAATAATAAAAGTATCTAGTCTCATTCGCGCCTCGCATTAAAGATGATGCGATTCGGATAGAATGAGTTGGTCCCGGTCTGTTCCTGTTCCTTCACGAAATTCTACAAGATTGAAAACAGGATGCGTAGGAGCAGTGAATGATGCAATTTGATTTCACATGTGCTGGAACGTGGTGGTTTCCATATATTTGTTTTTTTACGTAATCGCGGATAATAATTGCCCAAATGGAAATGGGTATTGAATCAATTACTTTATATGCCGACAATGACTTTGTGGAATTGGGTATCATCACTCATATTATTGGCTTTTGCTTTGTTCTACTATTCTCACACGAACCCATCTCCTCCTTCTCTCATGGCTGAAGAAACCTCCAAATCCATCTACGATTTCACCGTCAAGGTTCCTTTTGTCCCTTTATTTTCGCCTCTGCTTATAATTTGTTGCCTGCTCATACCTAGTTGTTGTTTCTCTCTGTTTTTACTCGAAAAAATTGTGGCTTGTTCGTGCCCAGTTGTTGTTGCACTCAAATTGCTTGATGGGTGAATGAAGATGATCTAGGGAATATCAAATAGATTAAGAAAAAGGGCACAAAATGATGGCAATCATGTACTTATTAGCTTCTGATTTCGTATATATTGTATTTCAATTTCCAAGGAGATCAACGAAGCATGTGATCTGTTTTTTATTTCAATTGATGCCTTTACTGTGAATAGCATAGCCCAAGACTGCAATATTTTGATTTATTTTTCCTGTCAATTTTTTTTTTTTTTTTTTTCTCTCTTGAAAATGATTTGGGTTCAGGGTGTTTGATACAAACATTTTAGAGGCTCACCCTAAAAGCTAGCTTAGGAGGTAGGAGAATTCAAAGTCCAAATAAACCCTAAACTAGAACTTTATGTTTCTGGTGTGGGACTCCAAGTCTCATAACTTGTACTCCGCAGCCTCGTCCCACGCGAGCTGGTTTTGCCTCAGTCTTTTCGAGTAGGATGGTAACAGTGTTCTTGTTGATTATTGGTTTGTCTATGATTACTTGTACAAATCATTTGTTTCTGTTATTTCCCACCAAATTTTTTGGGATTAAGTTGATTTGATTGATTTTGTTGTTGCTAATTTTATTGTAAATGCACCCTCAACTCTACTGATCCTTGGTTAATTGCTTGACTGGCGTTTCACTTTTATAATTTATTTTTCTTTCTGGTATGAATTGTAACTGCAGGACATCCGTGGAAATGATGTGAGTCTCGGTCAATACAGTGGGAAGGTTCTACTGATTGTGAATGTTGCCTCACAATGGTAACATAATTTGATTCATACTGATAAATTATTTTCGGGTTGTTGCATATACCATTTTACCTGATCTACGATTATTTACTTTTTAATTTTTTAATTTTTATGCATCTCAATGTGCTTGCGTTCAGTTCAACCTTATTTATCTGTTAATCATTGTGCTTTATATTGCTCTGGGTTTGCACAAAAACAAAGACTGAATTAAACTTAAAATTTCAGTTCAATGTCCACAATTCCCTTTCATCAAGCAATTTTATTTAAGTTTTAAAAATTTGCATGCATTTTAGACCGTGGGAAAATGTTGTACAGTTGAAAAGGTGAAGAGGACCCATTTTCTTGAGTTGACACATTAGAATTATGTTGTTTAATTTGTAGTTGAAAGAGTTTCTCTGTTGTTGTGTTTGATGTTTGAGAAATGTTATGGGATTGCTATTTGGAAGTATATACTGGAATTTCTGTATCATGAAACAAGAATACTCAATATTTTCTGAATGGTAAAGATTTTATTCATTCATCTTTCCCCACCTGTTGTCTAATATTTTATTTAGGCAGATTCTAAATAAAAAACATTAATCTTTATTAAAAAAATTAATTGTAGTGGAGTGTGCAAAACTTGATGTAAGATTGGGCTTTCACAGGTGGGTTTAATGTGAGGTAATCCCTGAAAACATTGAGAAGGATAGATTCCTGGGCTAAAGCAAAGACTTCCGTGTTAGATGATACTAAACAAGCTTTCGGCTTCTTATTAATAAAACTAAACCAAATATATGGCATAAATAACATGAAAATCTGTATGCTTGATTCCCTGATCTTGAAGAGTGTCATGCATGATGTTTGTCGTATTTGTTTTTTAAAAAGTATTTTTTATATTATTAGACAAGAAAGTGAAAGATCAGTAACAATTATATTCAGATGAAAGTCGGAATAGCACCGATTTAGGAGAAAATGACAGAAACTTGCCTAAGGAGGATTGATCTCAAAGATCAACAAAGGTTCGAGTGAAAAAAAGTAGATCAAAGATTGTCCAATTAAAAAATGTAGATCAAGACCAAAGAGAGCTTTAGGAGAGCCTATTTAAAAAGATCTTGCTTTAAATCTCAAATTTCATGATAAACATTTTGATTCTGAATACTTTCTCACTGTTTTCATTCATTTCTCTCGTATTTATACAACCTGTGTTACTTACATCAAAGGCGGGAAAAAGCTAACTGAATTATACAAAGTGAAACTAACTAACTAACACAAGTCTCATTCTGTTTCACTTTTACACGTGTCATAATCTTAGCGTTACAATGAAAAGAGTTAGTTTGGCCTTTTTCTGATGTGGGACTATTTAACTCCAAGACCCCCCACAAGCTGGACGATGTATGTCAAACATCCCCAGCTTGGATACAGCAACCGAAAATGCATCACGACCCAATGGTTTGGTAAAAGAATCAGCAACCTGATGAGAAGTGCCAATGGGAAGGAGACGAAGCAAACCTGATTGAATCTTACTGCGAGTAACATGGCAATCAATTTCAATATGTTTGGATCTTTCATGGAACATGGGGTTATGTGCAAGGTGGATGGCAGACTGACTATCACAGTAGACGGAAGCTGGGTGTGGCCATGGCAGATGGAGATCTTGGAAGAAATATTGGAGCCACTGGATTTCGCAGGAGAGACTTGCAAGGGCACAATATTCTGCTTCAGTCGATGAACGACTAACGGTGGACTGCTTCTTCGTACGCCAAGTCACCAAAGAAGAGCCAATGAAGACACAAAAACCTGTGACTGATTTGCGGCTCTCTGGGCATGTTGCCCAGTCAGAATTAGCAAAAGCTTGCACACGCAAGTTATTTACAGCTGGAAACAATAAACCAGTGCCAGGGGCTTGTCTGAGATAGCTAACAACACGCTTTGCAGCAGCCATATGAGTAGTGGTAGGTGCCGAAATAAACTGGCTAAGACTTTGAACAGCAAAGCATATGTCAGGTCGAGTATTGGTAAGGTATAATAAACGTCCAACGAGCCTTCTATATTGAAAAGGATCAGGCAGAGGAGTGCCTTGGTTGCTGTGAAGTTTGACAGAGGAGTCCATTGGAGAAGAAACAAATTTGCCTTCAAGTAGACCAGCATCCTTAATTATAGCAAGGGTATATTTGCGTTGATTTAATACAATTCCTTTGGATGAGCGAGCAATTTCTAATCCAAGGAAGTAACGCAATTCACCTAGATCCTTGATGCGAAATTGGGCATCAAGCAAGTTCTTGACTCATGTAATTTCAGACAAATTATTAGGAGAATGTCATCAACATAAACAAGTAATGCAGTAAGGGAGTGCTGGTTGTGCAAGACAAAAAGAGAATGATCAGAGTGCGCTTGAGTATATCCTATAGAAAGGAGAAAGTCAGATAACTTTGCATGCCATTGACGACTGGCTTGTCTTAATCCATAAATGGACTTTTGAAGACGACACACTTGTCCTTGTTTAGGGAGAACTAGTCCTTGTGGAGGGACCATGTATATTTCTTCAAAAAGATCCCCATGTAAAAAGGCATTATTCACATCTAATTGATGGATAAACCAGCCCTTAGCAGCTGCAATGGAGAGAAGAATTCGAACAGAAGATAGCTTGGCCACTGGGCTGAATGTGTCAATAGAATTGATGAGCAGAATATTTGGCATTATTTGTGCAGATTTGTAATTATATCCTTAATTAATTAGCCAGCTGTAGGTTATGATTTGTAATTATATCCTTAATTAATTAGCCAGCTGTAGGTTATGATTGTGTAATTATATCCTTAATTAATTAGCTAGCTGTAGGTTATGAGTGTATAGTTATGATTGTGTAATTATATCATACTATTTAAATGAGAATTCTCCAAAGGAGAACATAAGGTTTTATCCCAATTTCTCTAAGTTTAACAATGCCATAATTGAAAATTAACAGTTGCAGAATTACAAGAAATAAAAGGCTGAAAAGAACATGGTGACAACAATGAAAAGAACAAGGTTTTGCATGAATTTGTTGACTGTGTGGACAGCAAAAGAGATATCAGGTCTTGTGATGGTGAGGTAGATGAGACTTCCTACCAACTTTCGATATAAAGTTGGGTCTTGTAGAAGGTCACCTTCATCCCGTCTTAACTTTACATTAACTTCCATGGGAGTGTCAACCATAGTTGCAGTGGTGAGACCAGCTAGCTGAATTAGATCCTGAGTATATTTGTGCTGAGTGACAAAGATGCCTTTTTGTTGGAATTGTACTTCTAATCCCAAGAAATAAGTGAGCTGTCCAAGATCTTTCATGTGGAAAGTTGTATGCATCAATTGTTTGATTGTAGTGATAGCCTCTTGATCTGAGCCGGTGACGATAATGCCATCCACATAAACAAGGAGAATCACAATTCCTTTGGAGGTCCTTTGTAGAAAAAGAGATGGATCATAGCTACTTTGGATGAAGGAAAAACCAAGTAATGTTGTGCTAAACTTTTCAAACCACACTCTTGGTGCCTGTTTTAATCCATACAAAGAACGTTTTAGCTTACAAACAGTATTAGGTAATAGTGAGGGCATACCCGTAGGAAGTTTGATGTACACTTCTTCTTTGAGGTCACCATGAAGGAAGGCATTTTTGACATCTAGCTGGTGAATTGGCCAAGATTCAGATGCAGCAATGGCAATAATAGTCCGCACAGTAGTCATCTTGGCCACCGGCGCAAAGGTCTCTTCATAGTCTAGGCCATATTCTTGCTTATTTCCAAGAACAACCAAACTAGCCTTGTATCGATCGATGGATCCATCTGAACGCAACTTTATAGTGAATACAAATTTACTGCCAAGAGGTTTAACCGATGAAGGACATGGAACAATGTCCCATGTTTGATTTTCCTCTAGTGCAAGAAGTTCAGTCTCTATAGCATCCTGCCAACATTTATGCTCCATTGCCTGTTTATATGAAGAAGGAATATGAATAGATGCTAAAGTTGCTGTCAAAGATAAAGATTCAGAAACACCATACTTTTTCGGTGGTTTACGAATGCGAGTACTGCGACGTAAAGGGGCAGGTTCTAGTGCATGCACTGGATCAGCAGCCAGAGAATGATCAGAAGGGGGCCTTGAAGGGATTGAAGTCTGAATTGGTGGAACAGTCAGATGTCTTTGGTAGACAATGACAGGAGGACGAGCTTGGTCTTCTGCAAAACTGTTAGGAAACAATGGCAAGACAGATTTGGATGTAGAAGATTGAGTGTCTTGGTTAGTAGCAAAAAAATATGTATCTTCTTGAAAGATGACATTTCTAGAAACCCAAATCCTATGTAAGTAAGGATCATAGCATAAAAAACCTTTTTGATGGGCTGAGTAACCAAGAAAAGCACATTTAACAGATTGAGCTGTGAGTTTGGTGCGTTCTGGTGGCTGAAGATGAACATAACAAACACAACCAAAGGTGCGAAGAGTTGAATAATTGGGTTGCTTACCAAATAACCTTAAGAAAGGGGAATCATTGTGCAAGACTGGAGAAGGCAGCCGATTAATAAGGTGGACAACAGTTGAGAGAGCTTCACACCAAAAACGGGAGGGTACTAAAGAGTCCAACATTAAGGCACGGACAACATCAAGAAGATGACGGTTTTTTCTTTCAGCTATCCCATTTTGTTGGGGTGTGGAAGGACACGACCTTTGAGATAATATACCATTTTTCTGCAAGAACTCTTGAAACAAATGAGATGTGTATTCCCCCCATTGTCAGAACGTAGAGTTTTAATTTTTGATGCAAACTGAGTTTGAACATAGGAATGAAAAAATTGGAATGCAGAGAAAACTTCAGCTTTAGATCGCAAAAAATAGACCCATGTGAAACGACTATAGTCATCAATAAAAGTGATAAAATATTTGTAATGTGCATGAGATATTACAGGTGTAATGCCCCATAAATCACTGTGAATTATGTCAAAAGGCTGATTTACATTTGATTGATGAATTGGAAATGGTAGAATTTTACTTTTACCAAGTTTACAAGAATTGCAATCAAATTGAACAGCACTAAAAGATGGGAAATGTTTATTGCCAAGAACTCCAGATTTCATTAAGGCATGAAGTACATTCGAATTTGGGTGACCAAGACGCTTATGCCTGTCAATAGAATTGATGAGAAGAATATTTGGCATTATTTGTGCAGATTTGTAATTATATCCTTAATTAATTAGCCAGCTGTAGGTTATGATTTGTAATTATATCCTTAATTAATTAGCCAGCTGTAGGTTATGATTGTGTAATTATATCCTTAATTAATTATCTCCATTAATGCCAGTATTTTGCATCGAGCAATCCTGTTTGCGTACATTACAGATTTGAGTATCACATATAGCCCATTGTGTTGCTCAGCAATACCAATCTTCATTTGGGTATGGATCTGTTGGATAAGGCAATATGAAGCATGAAAAGTTAGGGAACATGGAATGGTGGTTAATAATTTGGTAACTGAAATGAGATTGACTCTAAATTGTGGAACATAAAGAACATCAAGTAAGATAAAACCATTAGCCAAGTGTATGGAAATAGGTTGTATTTTTGTCAATTGTGTAAGCTGAGATCTCAAATATGTCTCATGATCTGTGGCACCTGTGTCCAAAATCCAATGAATATCTATGTTACCTGGCGGCTGAGTTATCAATTCAGTGTTGAGATTAGATACTTGAGTGAAATGTGTGGCATGAGTGGCAGAACCAGCATTGTTAGGAGCTATAGTATTCTTCTCAAGCAAATTGAGAATGTGGTGATATTGATCATTCGAGAGAGTAACAGTTGAGGATGAATCTGATTTGTGAACCAAAGCATCAGGAGTATTCTGCATCACATTATTGGTGGCATGGGAAACTGTAGTGCGTGGCCTGTATCCCTGTGGAAAACCGTGAAGATGGAAACATGTTTCCACAGTGTGGTTAGATCTACCACAATGAGTACAGATTTTTGCAGATTGAATACAACCTCCACTATAGTTGTTGAATGGAGTTCTGCCTCGTCCCCTATAACCTCGAGCACCATGATTTCTTCGAAAGGGAACAGTATCAGAAAATGCAGCAAAAGATTGATTGTTCATGATGTTACCTGCCTGACCTTCACCTTGAAATTGACGTTCTTGTTGAGCCACCATTGAAAACACTTGAGTGACATCAGGAAAAGGTTTGAGCAACATGATTTGGGATCTAACTTGTGAAAACTGTTCATTTAATCCTTTGAGAAATCTGATGATATGATCTCGCTCACGATACTCTCTCATCTTTAGGTATCCACCACAAGAACATTTGATAGCACAACTGCACATCGGTAACGACTTCAAGTTCTCCAATGCATCAAACAAAGTTTTCAATGCAGTGAAATACTCTGTAACACCTTTGTCTCCTTGCTTCAAACGGTAGATCTCCTCTTGAAGATCAGAGATCCGAAAAATGTCAGAACGAGAAAATCAATTACAAAGATCAACCCAAACATCACGAGCCTTTTCAATCCATATGATTGATTGAACAATCGTTTGCGAAATTGAACGATGGATCTATGCGTTTACCATATTATTGCATCGTTGCCAAGCAAAATAGGAAGGATCAGTTTCCAATGGTGGATCGATGCTTCCGTCAATAAAACCTATCTTGTTTTTCGAAATAAGAGCAACCGTCATGGCTCGAGCCCACGTATGGTAATTGTTGCCATTCAACAGTTGAGGAACCAGAACTGTGGACGGTGATTCATTTGGATGTAGAAAAAATGGATGAGAAGGATTTGTATAGTAATCAGGCACTATTGGAGTTGCCATGGAAGATGCAGTTGCTAACGGTGGTGGTGTTACTGTAGCAGAAGCATCGTCGGGTTCAGTGTCCGCCATTGTAGAAAAGAAAAAAAATCTTGGTTTCTCTCACTGCGATACCAGAGCCCCAATTTAGGGCTCTGATACCATCTCAAATTTCATGATAAACATTTTGATTCTGAATATTTTCTCACTGTTTTCATTCATTTCTCTCGTATTTATACAACCTGTGTTACTTACATCAAAGGCGGGAAAAAGCTAACTGAATTATACAATGTGAAACTAACTAACTAACACAAGTCTCATTCTGTTTCACTTTTACACGTGTCATAATCTTAGCGTTACAATGTAAAGAGTTAGTTTGGCCTTTTTCTGATGTGGGACTATTTAACTCCAAGATTAAATGGGTTTATTTTAAGTTTTGGCTTTTGAGATAACCCAATGGGGTTGTTGGATCCGTGTAACCGACTCCACATAGTGGGGTAAGGCTTGGTTGTTGTTATTTGTATTAGAATGAGCTAATTACAGGATATAATTCTTCCCCGGTTTATTCTGTCTATAACTGTACTAATAGTATTCTAAACCATTGCTGCAGTGGTTTGACACAAACAAATTACAAAGAATTGAATGTACTGTACGAGAAGTACAAGAATCAAGGTCTGTCACTTTAGTGAAGGACAAAAAAAGAAATATGTCAACTATACTTTATGTGGTTGTGAATTTCATAACACCGAGACTTGTGAATTGTCTATAGGGCTTGAAATCTTGGCATTTCCATGCAACCAGTTTGCTGGACAGGAACCAGGATCCAGTGAAGAAATTCAGGATGTTGTATGCACTAGGTTCAAAGCTGAATTTCCTGTCTTTGATAAGGTAATTTCTGATAAACTCATTGTAATTGACAGAAGTGTTTCCCTGTTTTTTATTTGGAGTTCCCTTCTTTGCTCACTTTTTTTCACGTGGACAATTCTGTATGGATCTGGCATACTGTAAGTTATTCTGCATTGACACGAGACTTGTTTGGATACTGAATATATGTTACAATAGAAGATGTACGTAGCGAAATTCTGAAGGAAACATCTTATGGTTATATGAAATGGAAGTGGATCCTCTCATGTGTTATTTAACATGACATAGTCATGTGAGAGGATCTTAACCATTAAAAAATAAATCAACGGTGATGATTTGGTAACTTTCTATCTCAATATTTTTTTTTTCTCTCTTCCCTTATTATCATTGATTCACCCATGTATGGTTAGGATCCTCCCACTTGACATGATTATGTTAAATAACACCTAAGAGGATCCAGTGCATTAGAGAGGCTACTAGTCTCTCCCACGTACACACCCTAATCTGTCTAACTTCCTACTTTCTGGTTACTCCTATTATTAATATTCCTATGTAACTGCAATGATTAACTGCATATAATTGCCTATCATTTACTGCCTATTTAATATTCCATAAAACTGCAATAATTAACTGCACTGCTGTAACTGCATATAATTGCCTATTTAACTTCATCTGATTATCCTGCTGCCTTCTAGTATAAACTCTTACTATAGGAGGCCTCTCATCAATATACTTCCTATTTTCCCCAGCCAGATTTTGCATGCACTATTTTGCTTGCAATGAATTCTGGATGGATACTGTTCCATATATGTGCCATTTTATATGGAAATCATTGTAAAATAAATAAATTGTTATAGGTTGAAGTTAATGGCAAGAATGCAGAACCACTTTACAAGTTTTTGAAGGATCAGAAGGGGGGAATATTTGGAGATGGTATCAAGTGGAACTTCACCAAGTTCTTAATAAACAAAGAGGGAAAGGTTGTGGACAGATATGCTCCTACCACCTCGCCTCTGAAAATTGAGGTTAGAGACATTTTATTGCTTATATTTTTAAATAAGATTTCTATATATAATGATGCTGGGCAAAGGGGGTCAATTATACCTAAAAGTTGGATTGCTTTTTGGGCTATTGGCATATATGCTACTCATTCTCTACAATAGCCCAAACCAAACATTTAATTATATCTGAATCCCTTTTTCCTGCGTCATATAAGATTACATGTCAACAAATTATATGTTTCCTCTCGCAGAAAGACATTGAGAAGGTCTTACAATCTTCTTGAGTGCAAATATTTGATTCTATGCAGTATGGTATGATGCAGAGGTTAGTTTTTCAGTCATTTAATTTTATTGTCTTTCTTTCTTCTTGATGAGTACTTGTGGGAGCTCAAACTAATCTTGCAGATTCTCAATCTTGCATATGCAAATACACACATTCATTTATTCAAATATGTCTAAAGATCTAGCACTTCACCTCTTGATGTATTTCATATATGTTCGTTTTCAATCAGTTTTGTAGGATTTAAATTATATTAGAAATCATCATCTGGACCAAAATTCAAAAAACAGAATTCATAATCTGATTTACGGTTCACTAAAATCAAATTGAAAGTGTAAGGATGGTCACACTAATCATATATAGTGTATAGTATATTTTAGGAAAAATTCTTAGGTTGACACTATGAATAAAGTACTTTGTGTGTTGAGCCGATAGAAAAAGACAATTGGTTTTAAGTTTTTAAATTTGGGTCCCATCATGTTGTATTTGCCTAACTCAATAGATACTCTTATTTGTTCACTGCACAAAGTGATCCTGCGTCATGTCTGCCTAGAATGTCTCGAATTTTAGTTGCTTAACCTGATAGTCTACCTCAAAATTTGATTCAAACGGTCATGTTGGTTCTTAATCCACCCTTTATTTGGAAGTATAGTTCTTTCTCTGTTTATGTATTTCTAACTTTTTCTTAACTTGAAAGAAGGGTTTTCCCTTAACTGTTCAGACTATTAGTCCTGAGAAAACTATATCGGCTGATGCTCTGTCCGTCTGTTCTTCTGTACAGGAAATAGTCAATCTGTCTGGTGCTTTCAAAGGACAAGTAGCTTCTTAAAGCAAGTGATATGTTTCGCTGGTTAATTTATGGCTGAAAAATTCTTATTATTTCTCGTGCATTTTTTTTTTTTTGGGTACAGATAGGGGCAGAGCCCCATTTTCTCGTGCATTTGGATTATGCAATAAGTATAGTTTGTTGTTCTCAAATCTCCCTCTCTTACCGAAACAATAAAATAATGTATTTGGATGCATGTTTTTGTTATTCTCGATGATCCATACTCCATATATTGATTTGTTTATATTTCTATAAACTACATATTATTTAGATGGCCCTCCTAGTTTTACTTGAAAACTTTCTCCGAGGGAAATTATTGCTTTGGTGAAGGCATTCGCACTGTTTGTAAAACTGATGGTAAAGAAAAACCACGTAAGTTTGCCTAAACGAAGGGATTTTTAATTTTGTCAGTTAGGTACAGGTATTCAACTTTTCTGAGGCTATGCTAAGGGCTACAAATATCCCTCTCGTGAAAAATTGTGGATCTTAATTTTTCCCACCGTTCTACATGGAATGATCTTCAAATATAATTTTACTGCTAGAATTAGAACAAGAAGGTTCAAGTTCGGCGGGACCCATATTTAAGGGTGGTTATCATTTTTTCACTCCCAATAACAAGTAAATATTCTTGTGCCGTGCTGGAAGAACCTTTTTTTGGTGCTATCGCTTGAGTGCAAGACTTTTTTTTTCCTCCCCGAAAATATAAGGAAAGAAAAGAAACTAATCTCATACCATTCTGGGTGCAACCCTAATACACTGTAAAGTTTCTAAAGTGACAGTTATCTGTTATTGAAACTTATGTGTTATGTAAGTTAGTTAGGAACTGAAGAAACTAATTTGTACTTCACTTTAAGCTTTTACATTGTAGTACAGATATCTGATATGTAGTATAAATATCGGTACTTGTACTTCATTTTCAGTCATTGAGAAATACAAAATGGTTATTCTTTCTTTCCTTTTGTGTTCTTGTAAGATGGTATCAGAGCTCTTGTAGAACTCTGGTATCTTTTTCGCCTTTCTTGTTCTTTCCTTTCTTTTCTTTCAAGCACAAGTGAGTTCTTTCTTCTTTCGCTGCGTTTCAATGGCGAATCAGATACCAGATTACCTGACGAATCCAGGAAATGCATTCTTTTTGCATCCAAGTGAGAATCTAGCCTTGGTATTGGTTTCTCCCCCATTGAATGGTAAAAACTTCCATACATGGGTGAGAGCAATGCACATGGCCTTGTTGTCCAAAAATAAGTTGTCCTTTGTTGATGGCAGTATAGTAGCTCCTCAGCCAACAGACCCTCTCTTTTCAGCATGGGAGAGGTGCAATATAATGGTGTTGTCATGGATCCATCGATCCATATCTGAAAACATAGCACAGTCAATCTTGCTGATCGATAATGCAGCAACAGTTTGGAGGGATCTTCGTGAAAGATTTGCCCAAGCTGGCGTATTCAAAATAGCAGAATTACAAGAAGATATCTTCAAGATGCAACAAGGTGACAAGTCAGTTACCGATTATTTTACTCAATTGAAAATATTATGGGATGATTTTGATGGGTTACAACCAATATCGAGATGTACATGTCAACCTGCATGTAATTGTGCTGCTACCACCCATTCAAGAAATATACGAGATAGAGATCAAACCATACATTTCTTGAGAGGTCTTAATGATCAATACCTTCAAGTACGTTCTCAGATTATGCTAACAGATCCCCTGCCTAATATGAATAAAGTATTCTCTTTGATTTGTCGGCAAGAAAGACAAATCAATATACCTCCAGTTGAAGTGCAGAGCTTTGCAAATGCTTTTCAGAATAATAACAGAAATGGAAGTTTTGATAGAGAAAGAAATTTCAACAGAGATAGAAATTTCAATTCAGAAAGGAATTTCAATCCAGAAAGAAATTTTCGTCCACCAATTGGAAGAGGTCGAGGCAATATGGGAAGGCTATGTACTCACTGTGGAAAATCGAATCATACAATTGAGACATGTTATCTTAAGCATGGATTTCCTCCTAGATTCAAAACTAGAAATACATACATGATGAACACAACAGATGTTGATGAAGAAGGAAATCAACAATTCCAAGAAGCTAATCAAGATTCTGATTCACAAATGACTTTATCCAAAGAACAGTACCAAGGCTTGCTAGATCTTCTACAACAGTCAAAGATCAATGACCCAATCAGTAACCAATCTGTCCATTCATCCAATCTAGTGCAAGTGTCAGCACTCAATTCAGATACATCAGGTAACCGTACCTCACAGTGGATCATTGACACTGGAGCTACGGATCATATTACTCATATGAAATCTTCTTTCAATTCCTTGCACAAAATAAAACCTGTTTTTATCAACCTTCCAAATGGCATTACAGTTCATGCTAATCATGCTCTTCTTTCAAATAGTCTTACTTTACATAATGTTCTATATGTTCCCCAATTCAAAGTAAATCTCATTTTAGTATCCCAAATAACCCATGATCTAAATTGCTACCTTGTTTTTCATAATGGAATTTGTTCTATTAACCAGGACCAAACCATGAGGAAGATTGGTTCAGCTAAGCGGATAGATAGTCTCTACATACTTGAACTGCAGAATTCCACCATTTACAGCATGAATAAAGACATATCCCAGAAAGTCAGCCTTTGCTGCAACACAAATAAAGATAGTTCCTTCCTATGGCATCTAAGACTTGGCCACACCTCACACTCAACAATGCAGAATATGTCCCATTCCGTTCCTTCTATTTCATGTAATAAGATTTCTTCCTGTGATGTATGTCAATTCTCAAAACAGAAAAGATTGCCATTTCCAATTAGTTCAAATAAGTCTCTTAATTCTTTTGATCTTATACATGGAGATATTTGGGGACCCTATTCTACCCATTCTATTAATGGATTCAGATGTTTCCTTAAATTAGTTGATGACTATTCAAGATTCACATGGGTCATCTTAATGAAAAATAAATCTGAATCACGTGGACACATCCAAACCTTCACTGCCTTAGTTGAGAATCAATTTCACAACAAAATTAGATGTTTTCGAACAAACAATGGGGCAGAATTTATGATGCATTCTTTCATTTCATCAAATGGTATCCTCCATCAAACATCTTGTGTTGAAACACCACAACAAAATGGAGTGGTTGAAAGAAAACATCAACACATATTAAACATAGCGAGAGCCCTTTATTTTCAAGCAAACCTACCAAAACATTTATGGTGTTATACCATTACCCATGTTGTTCACATTCTCAACAGGATAACATCTCCTACCATTAATAATAAAACTTTTATGAATTGTTATACAAGGAACTACCAACCTTTGTGCACCTAAAAGTATTTGGTTGTCTAGCCTATGCCTCCACCTTACCTAGCCAGAGAACAAAATTCACCAGTAGAGCTCACAAAACAATCTTCTTGGGAATCAAACCAGGTACCAAAGGTTTTATACTTTTTGATATTCATTCTAGAACAATTATTGTATCTAGAAATGTCATTTTTTTAATCCACATTTCCTTTTTCAAATAAAACTCCCACTACTCCACCTGCATCCTCTTCTTGTCCTTCTTTTGAACAAAATAATTTTTGGGAACCCCTCGTACCTACTCCATCTCTGACTCAAATTCCCATTGACCAAAATACCAACCAAGAAAACCTCAATTCCACAATCATAGCACAGCATACAGATACTCATCCTGTCAGAAAATCATCCAGAATTCGTAGTACACCCAAGTATTTAGAAGAATATCATTGTTCTTTATCCGCTGCAGCTGCAACTACATCCAACTCAGGTATTTCTCCATCCTCCTTTTCTTCTTTTCACTTTGAACCTTCTTCCACTAACCACCCCTTATCATCTGTGTTGTCTTATAAACACTGTACACCCACCTACAAGAGTTTCTGTCTAACCAGTAGCTCGACTGTTGAACCCAAAACATATGCTGAAGCAATCAAACATGTGTGTTGGAAAGATGCTATGCAAGCTGAAATCAAAGCTCTTGAGAAAAATGGAACATGGTCCCTAGTTGATCTGCCTAAGGGAAAACAACCCATTGGATGTAAATGGGTTTATAAAACAAAGCTGAAAGCTGATGGAACAGTTGAGAGACACAAAGCTCGTTTAGTTGCAAAAGGGTATACTCAACTTGAAGGTGTGGATTATTTTGACACCTTTTCTCTAGTAGCCAAGATTACAACAATCCGAGTGTTACTGTCAATTGCTTCTGCACAGGGTTGGCATTTAGAACAGATGGATGTCAACAACACATTTCTTCATGGAGACTCAACAAATCACATCTGCAAACTCAACAAATCACTATATAGCTTAAAACAAGCCAGTAGACAATGGAATGCAAAGCTCACATCTGCACTTATTGACCTTGGCTATCACCAATTTGTGGCTGACCATTCCTTCTTTATTCAATCCTCTCCAAATTCATTTACTGCTCTAATTGTCTATGTCGATGACATTGTTATTGCAGGAAATGATTTTGCAGAAATTAAACAAGTAAATCAATTCTTAGATGCACGATTCAGCATCAAAGATTTGGGTCAGTTACGATTTTTCCTTGGTTTGGAGATTGCCAGATCAAAGAAAGGGTTATTACTTAATCAGAGGAAATATACATTAGAACTTCTTTCTGATTCTGGTATGCTTGGTGCCAAAACAACTTTTACTCCCATGGATGTCTCCAATAAACTTCATCGTGAACAGGGTGTTCCTTATCATGACATCTCTGGTTACAGAAGATTAGTTGGAAGACTTCTCTATCTTACAACAACCAGACCAGATATATCACATGTTGTACAACAGTTGAGTCAATTCATCTCTTGTCCAACAGATATCCATTATCAAGCTGCACTGAGAGTTCTCCGATACATTAAAGCCTCCCTAGCTCAAGGACTGTTCTTTCTAGCTGAAAACTCTCTCACTTTACGTGCATTTGCATACTCAGATTGGGCATGCTGCCTTGATACACGGAAATCCATTACAGGAATGTATGTTTTCCTTGGATCTTCTCTCATATGTTGGAAATCCAAGAAACAGAACACTGTCTCTCGATCATCATCAGAGGCTGAATACCGTGCTTTAGCAAGTCTTATATGTGAGATTCAATGGCTTGCCTTTCTCTTTAAAGATTTGTATTTGCCACTTACCCAAGCTGTTTCAGTTTACTGTGATAATCAATCGGCTATTTATCTAGCTCATAACCCTGCGTTTCACGAACGTAGCAAACATATTGAGATAGATTGTCATATAGTTCGTGAAAAAGATCACTTCTGGCTTAGTTCATCTTCTTCCTATATCTACTTCATCTCAGTTAGCCGACTTCTTCACTAAAGCTCTTCAACCTACACGCTTCAAAGAATTGATTTCCTAGTTAGGTTTGTTAAGCATTCACACCCCAACTTGAGGGGGGGGGTAATACAATGTAAAGTTTCTGAAGTGACAGTTATCTGTTATTGACAATTATCTGTTATGTAAGTTAGTTAGGAACTGAAGAAACTAATAGTGTAGGATTTGTACTTCACTTTAAACTTTTACATTGTAGTACAGATGCCTAATATGTAGTATAAATATCGGTACTTGTACTTCATTTTCATTCATTGAGAAATACAAAATGGTTATTCTTTCTTTCCTTTTGTGTTCTTGTAAGACTGCTCATCATGTTCGCACGAATTAAGTTACAACACTTCTAGGGTGGATTTACAAAAAAAGGAACATTCCAGTCCTGGGTAAAAGCATTATTTGCAAGCCAATCTACCACATGATTCCTGCACTTGACTTGAACACGCCAAGGCCTTAATAAGAGACTTGATTCAATTTACCAATGAGTAAAAGGGCTTGTATCTCTCACACCTTTTCCTTCACAAACTTTATCATAGTTGTAGAATCTCCTTCTATCCACACATTTCAGAAACCCCAACTTAATACTCCACGATTCTGCCACTAAGAAGTTACCACATCCAAGGTTTTTGTGAACTCCAACACCAATCTCCCGCTACTATTTCTAGGGACACCCCCACAAGTCATCCTTCTTTCAGTCCATTTACATGCTCCATCTGTTGATCCATCCCTCACCAGGAAAGGTCCACTTAACATTTATCTCGTCCCATTAATTATTGAAGCAATACCTGCCAGATTCAACAGCTGCTCTGCATGGTTCATGACTTCATGTTATCAACGAAGGTACAATTTATGTTATGAAAAATGGGATGGACTTCTATACTCCCTTAAAAAGAACTACCGTACTTTTTTTTTTATTACTAAGTGAGTAATAAAAGTTACAGTTTGTAAAAATTACAGATATTTTATTATTTAGTTTATAACTGTCTTTTTTGGTAATCTAGTTTATAACTTTTATTACTTAATAAGTCTGCATATAACTTTTATTATTAAGTCTATAATTTTATGAAAGTAATATGATACTCTCTTTTTTATTATCCAAGTGAACCCCCAAAAGAAATGGCTAATATAAGATATTTTAAAAGGCGTGGTATATGACTAATATATTTTATTATTGGGATTTTTCACCTGTGGTGTAACACTTTTTCTTTTTTAATCAAATTAGTACAACTTCAAAATTAATTATCAGAATAGTGTAAATTGTACAAAGTCGTGGGTGAGACCTATGGCTTTATAGTATTTTGTTTTTTTAACAAGGTCGTCCACACCAAGCATGAAATATGTATTATTATTTTTGATATTATTCATATGAAGTCGTATGCATGAGATACTCTTATTTCCCCCCGTATATGTCATAGAGGTGGTACGAATAAGACAACTTGGACTAAAGTTGTGAACATCAGAACATAGGTGAGGTGACAACTTACTCCTTACTAATGGGATAGAAGTGGCGCATGATAAGAGAGGCACAACTTGTTTTGCTCGCACGCGCACAGTACCTTCAAATAAGACATGCATGTGATATACTACTTCAACAATTTATTTTAGAAAAAAATGTTGCAAGTCATGTATCATTTTGCAACTTTATTTAAAAAATTATGAAATTGTAAATGTGAATCAAAAATTATAAAAAAAAAAAAAAAAAAACGCTCAACTCACATATATTTTTATTAGTGCTAATTCATGTAAATTGTTTGGAGATTTTTCAATTTATTATTTAATAAAAATTAAAAAAAAAAGTTAGGAAACGACGCGTTTAGGGGTGATAATGGGTTATCACCTTGATCTTCTTTCCCCGAGTCGTCGTTGGCCAAGAACGCAGCATTAGGCTCACACTCTGATGGGTGACACAGAATTTGTTCATTGCTGAGAATAAGACAACATTTTTGGCCGCAAAACTTGATTTGATTTTTTTAAGGTTGTTCGTTCCTGTCTTCTAATAACTTCTAAAATGGCTTCAACAATTTTCAGAAGCTTTCAAGTTAACCCCTTTCTGCTTTATCCAACATCACTACTCAGACGAAGAAATGGGGTTTTGTACTGTACAACCAAAGCCACACAATCTCAAACAGACACTCAACAAAGGCAACAACAACAACAACAGCCACAAACCAAAGCTTCAACAAGTACACAGTCCAAGAAACTTGACAAAATCCCAAAAGATTATGAAGCTATCATTGGTATTGAAACCCATGTTCAGCTCTCAACTCTCACAAAAGCCTTTTGTGGTTGTCCTTACAATTATGGGTCTCCTCCCAATAGCTGCATTTGTCCCATTTGCATGGGTTTGCCTGGTTCTTTGCCTGTTTTGAATTCAAAGGTCATTGAGTTTGCTGTAAAGTTGGGACTTGCTCTTAATTGCAAGTTGGCTTTCAACTCCAAGTTTGATAGGAAGCAGTATTTCTACCCAGATCTTCCAAAAGGGTATCAGATTTCTCAGTTTGATGTGCCAATTGCTGCTGGTGGTTATCTTGATCTGGATATTCCAGTGGAGTTTGGTGGAGGCCACAAGAGGTTTGGCATTACTAGGGTTCATATGGAAGAGGATGCAGGGAAGCTGCTACATACAGAAAATGGAAATTACTCACAGGTAGTTTCTCTTTCCCTTCTTTCAGCTTGCAAGTTGTAACATTCCTTTTTGGATTTAATTTTTGTTATTTCTCGCTTCAGTCTTTAATATGATTTCTTATTGGTTTTGTATCTATTTTTCTGAATTAAATAAGTTTCCGGCACCCTTCAATAATGTGGACCATTGATGGAGTGTATTTGTTCATTAATACATTTATATTTATTTGAACAAATCTTTATATTGGATCAGCTTCACAAATTTCTTGGGGGTATAATTAACCTTTATCTATGATATAAGTATGTTAAAGTTGGTGATCTTTCTTGATAGGTTGATCTAAATAGGGCAGGGGTACCTTTGCTTGAGATAGTTTCTGAGCCTGATATGAGAAATGGTATTGAAGCAGCAGAATACGCAGCAGAAGTACAGAGGTTGGTTCGGTATTTGGGAGTGAGCAATGGCAATATGCAAGAAGGTTCTCTTCGTTGTGATGTGAATGTATCAATACGACCTATTGGGCAATCAAAGTTTGGGACAAAGGTATCTAGCTATTTCTTCGATAATTACAGGCTTTTAACACACCTAATTGAACTTTTGGTACATTATTATGAAACTTCTTGGTGTTGATGTTGAAATTGAATGGACCCTTTGTTTACACTCGTCAATTTTATCCCTACTCTAATTAGTCATTATTATGAGAGAATCTGGATAAAAGTTGAGCTTTCTCTCTGCAATGCTAAGGATGAAAGATATTAAAAGTATAATTTACAGTTAAACTTGTATTATTGCATACTATTTTCCTTGTTTCACTTATGCAAAGATAGCATCCTTTTCAACATGTCAGAAACTTGGAATGAGTTGTTGGAGGTCAATTCACGATTGGTTCTGTTTCTGCCAAGGCCTGACTTACATGAGCATGATAATCATTATCTTTTCAAGCCATATGTCACAATATATCAGTGTTTTGATGCCCTGTGAAATAGAAGTCTTTGTAAGCAAAAATGTCAACTGCGTGAAATTTTGGGTGATACTTACCTTGATATCATGACATTTTCTCAATAAATTTGCACTTTTTTTATTTTATTTTACTTCCACTTGTGTTGGGTGGGAAAGGGAAGGTGTTATCTGAAATGATTAATTTGTTTTTTATTTTCGGAGAAAATGATTAATTGCAGAGTTTTTGGCCATTATTATGAAAGAATAAAATGAAGAGAAATGTTACAAACACATCTTGCAGATGAGAAAATTGACTTGTCTTATCATATTGCTGCAATACTCTACAAAAATGACCTGTCCCTTGCTTTTTGCAGAAATAAAGTACCACAAAACGATATTACTCTATTACAGATTTAGCAGCTAATACGATCAATTGTACTGGCAGGTTGAAATAAAAAATTTGAACTCATTTGCATCAATGGGCAGAGCTATTGATTTTGAAATTTCAAGGCAAGTACTACTCCACAGTCAAGGCCATGAAGATCAGATAGTACAGGAAACTCGTCTATGGGAAGAAGGCACTCAGGCTAGTACTATATTGTGATTTTTGTTGTTGTTTTCTTTCTCGTTTAGTGTAGCAGGTACAAGATAGCATTCTCTTCCTTCAGACCTATTCCCCTAAATATCTGTTATTATGTTCAGAGAACAATTACAATGAGGAAAAAGGAAGGGCTTGCTGATTATCGATATTTTCCGGAACCAGACCTTCCAGCAGTAATCCTTTCCCATGAGTATGTTGATGGTATTCAAAATTCTTTACCAGAGCTTCCAGAAATTAAGCGTAGAAGATACGAGAAGATGGGCTTAAGCATGCAAGATGTTCTTTTCCTGGCTAATGATAAAAATGTGAGTTCTCTGCTGTTTTCCAAGGTTACAAGATTTTGTTCCAGTGTGATGCACGCAACTGAAAATACATGTTCTTAATAACAATGTACTAAAGATTAGGATAGAAATAGATAAGTAACTACTTCCTAGTAGATGTCCAATTACTGTGCTATTGTATCCATATTGTTAGGAAATCTATTATAAGATTTGACAGCACCCAAGAAACACCCTACAAGCAATGCAAAAATCCAAACGATAGACCTATAAATATTGTTCATAATGACTTTTGCAGAAAGCTTAACAGGAAATGGCATCGTATTTTGCTCAATATCTACTTTTTTCATGTCAGGAAGGAAGACCTATTAGATTCTGGTCACTGAAATACCATTAGATTCTGCCAGCAAATTGTCACAATCCAAAATACAAACTCATAAAAGTTGACTATGCACTAGACTTCTGCAAATTACTGGCCACAAAACCATTCTATGTAGCTCTTTCCTTTTCTTTTCTTTTTCTTGGGGTGTAGGGCTTAATGCAAATACATGTTTAGATGAAAACATAAAATAATTTCCAAATTGTTTATATACACAATGGTCCGCAATGAAAACAAGATACCAAGAAACCAACTAATTTAATTCCAGCAAAATAAAAACACTGCACAGCACATTAGAATGCTAAAAAGTAAATGTCGAGAAAGTTGTAGTACTACAAATGGTTTAACATGATTTTTATTTTCTGAATGGATGTATTAGGTTGCAGAATTTTTTGATACTACTCTTGCAAAGGGTGCTGATGCAAAGTTGGTCGCCAACTGGATAATGAGTGATATTGCTGCCTTCATGAAAAATGAAAAGTTGACCATAAATGAAATAAGGCTTACACCTGAAGAGCTGTCTGAGTTGATAGCTTCCATTAAAGGTGGAGTTATCAGTGGCAAGATTGGGAAGGAGGTATAGTTTGCTTTGGCACAAATAAGTGGTGCATAGTTAGGGTCTAAGCTTCACTGATTCTGACACCCAATTTTGAAATATTAAGCTGCACCCAGCAGTTATATTTCTAATCACATATTCTAGTTTTTCTCATTGATTTTTTTCCAGAGGCTTAAATACAGTTTGGAAGTTAATTGTGTTTGTGTATTTGAACTGGGGACCAAGCCAAGTGTGGGCATTCATTTTTAAAATTTGTTGACCTCTGAAGTCAAATTGTTGGGCATCCTTTATGATAATTAAACTTTAATATTTGTTTCTGTAAGAAAGTGAATTATTATGTCTAGTTTAAGTGTATTATGAAAATATATTAATTATGAAAATTGTATTATTGTATACTTCTATTTATTACATTCATTATATGAATATTGAGTTCGTGGTGTTGTTGGAACACATGGTTTCAACATATGCTCCTCTTCTCTCTCTCTCTCAACAGTTCCATTCCTTTTCTGCTTCATCTTGCATGCCTAGTTAGACTTAGGATACAAATGCCTTATTTGATTAGGTTTTGATTTGCTTGCAGTATAGGGCAGTTGGGTCCATGTGTTGTGTTCGCTTCAATTATTTGTCTCAATTAATTGGAAAAGAAGAAAAGACAATCAAACAATTGGGGCTAAATTATATATTTTTGGGCACATTTTTGCATTCTATACGTTTACAATTTTTTTCATGTGTTTGCAGATACTGTTTGAGCTATTAGCCAAGGGTGGAAGTGTTAAGGAACTAATTGACAAAAAGGACTTGGTTCAGGTCAGCTGTAGGATCAACGATATTGAAATTTTTACCAAGTGGTGTGATTGAACCTTTAGCAAGGGACAACATAATTCTTTTGATACTGAAGCATGAAGTTGCTAGCTTGAGTTTAGTTGCAAATTTAGCAACTTTCCTAGATTTTTTTTATTTTTTATTTTTTATTTTTTTGATTTGGTGATATATGAGATTTATTTGTTGTGTTTTAAAAACAAAATAAAGTTGCTAAGTGTTTGGGTTAGTAGTAAATTCAACAACTATAACGTGGATTATTTGGATTTTGCGATATTTGATATGTTATTTGTTAAGTTTTTAAAAGCAAAAGAATTCCTTGAGGTGGTTTGAACATTAAGTGTGAAACCTCTTCTCTGGGGCTTTATTTTTTTATGCTGAGAAAGAAAGAAAATGTGAGAATGTGCTTGTTAATGACAGATAGTAGATCCTGTGGAGATTGAAAAAATGGTGGACAAAGTGATTGCAGAGAATCCGAAACAGGTAGATCAATATCGAGGAGGTAAAACTAAACTACAAGGTTTTTTTGCTGGCCAGGTATGAACATCTAGAGCTGGAATCAATTGTTATGTTATTTCCCCTCTAGTTATCTTGGTGTCATGTACATTTGTTCAAATGCAGGTGATGAAATTATCTAAAGGCAAGGCAAATCCAGGTCTCCTCAACAAGATCCTCTTGGAAAAGTTGAATTCAAAGAGCTGATGCTAATAGATTGTTGTCTGCTTACTAATCATGCCAATAGCATTACAAAGATGTCATACATTTTCCAATTGGATGCCTGGTTTCTTGCTGGGTTCATCGTAAGGGCTGATCCTTGATAATCTCTTATCTACCCAATAGACAAGTTGCTAATGAAAAATAGAAGTGAAAGGTTCTTGTGTTGCTCATTGCAAGCCAAGGTGATTGGTTATATTGGCTAAATATTTTAGCTGATTTCAGAAATAACCCTGTACATTTTGTATTCTGGAGGGCTGAAGAATTTACACTTCAAAGCGTTGAAACTGCAGTGCGCTTTGGTTATTTTCTTCTGTAGAGGGTATAATCATTATGTGCGGTGCTTTAAAAGGACAAGTAGCTTCCCAAAGCATGTGATTTGTATCCCCAGTTAATTTGTGGATTAAAAGTCCTTATATATCTCAGGTATTTGGATTATATGTAATGAGTATAATTTGGTGTTCTCTCTCTTGCCAAAACAATAACTAGAGCAAATGCACTTGGAAGTTAGGGGAAAAACAAGAAATAATGTTGCTTCATAGGGACACAACCAATGTAGGGTTCATTATTTTTAAAATAAAAGAAAATACATCACAAGTATCGATGTCTTATTAGGGGTGTGAACAGGTCGAATTAAATTGAATTTTTTGAAAAATTGAACCGAATTGGTTAATGTAGTTCGGTTCGAAAAAATTCGGTTGATTCGGAATCAGTTCGGATTGAAACTATTCTGAAAAAAAAAGAAAAGAAAAGAAAAAATAATTAAAGAAATAAAGATAAAAATAAAAGAAGCCATTAAATAAATAAATAAATAAATAAAATAGAAAAAAAAGAAAAAAAAATAATTCAGTTTATGAACTGATTTTTTAAAACTAGTTATTTTAAGTGCAGTTCAATTCATAGTTCAGTTTAATTTTTTTATTCTTTTGTAGGAATAAAATTTGTCCCGCAACATGACACGTGAGATTAACAATGCCCCTTATCTTTTTCATTAGGATGCATAGATTGATTTGAAATTTTGCAGACTGCGATGGTTGATGATTTGGGCTATTTTAGGTTAGATTAAAACATTTTGTGCTGTACGCGGGCATTTTAGATTAAATGTTATGCATCCTGAATCCTGATGTGCTTTAGTTGTGGAAGGCCGTATGAGCATACTGAGTCATATCAGTTTGTTACAACTAAATGAATGTGCCTAAACGAAAAGTCCTGATTAAGGGGACTTACCCGACAATATATATATGTTCGTTACTTTTCCTATTAAAGAGGGGGGAGATGGTTTAACTCTTATTACCGTAACTCCAACTGAAAAACGAACTAGCAGTTCTCAAATATTTATGACAAAAAAAAAAAATGGATTTAAAATGCAGGCAGAGAGGAAAAAGATGGCTGGCAAATACTGAGAATCGAGTCTCTTCTCTCTGCACTCTCTTTCTGTCTGCCCTTGTGCTCATTAATCTCGTATTCACACTTGATCAAATTGAAGTCTTGAACCAAACTGGTATTATTTTTTCTTGACATTTTCAATCTATCTCCTAGTGAACGGGGAAGTTGGAAAAAAAGAAGAGGAGAAAACTACTTCATTGAGAAATTAATTTCACTTGTCGGATGGAGTCTTAGCTCTCCCTTTACTGGGCTGATAAACATTTGTAAATGAAGGAAATGATTGTACAGATCCATGTGGACCAAAACACATCTATTGTTGTCAAGTTATATTCTATCAATCAATTTATCTCGGTTGCACCATTGGAAACATTATCATGAAAGTGAAAGACACATTGTCACTATAATAATATCATTTTTTCAAGAAGATAAATATGGATACAAGAAACGGGTTTAATAAAATCAACTACTAATCAACATCAAATGTGCCAGAATATTTCATTTAGAGATATAGCATAGAACATAAAAGCCGTTCGGAATCAATTGGGCTTAGCATATGTATTGTCGTCTCTAAACTTCGCAATTTGACTTCGTATCATTTGCTCGACATGGGGTTGAACAAACATGTGGGTATTATCCAAGATATGTATAATGAACTTCTCAGATGCTGGCTGTGAAGCATTCATATTGATGATATATTGGGCCATGGGTATGTCACTGCACAAAGCAATATTGCTAATCTTTTATGCAGACTACAGAAGGAATACAGAGCTGAAAGAAAAGATTAACTAACAGTAAAGCATGTCTACTCCAGCTGCTAGAAATTACGTCATCAAAAGATTGGGTCAGTGACTTTGTATTTTGAAAGAAATGGACAACTGTGACTGCTGTTAACATAGTAAATTGTCAATAAACCAAAGCTTATGACAAGAAGTTCTAAACCCAGAAAGAACAACTCACTCACTTCTCCATCAAAGAATGAAAGGAAAAAACAGCCCTTGCAATTATTGTAGAGGTTCCAAAAATTGCAAACAAGCTTGCACGATTTTTTATTTTTATTTTAATTAAACAGCTTGCAAGATGTTTTAGAGCTTTGAAAACAAAAAGTTGAATATTCAGATCTGCAGTACTCTTTTTTTTTCCTTAAAAAACTATACAATAATGAATAGAAAAACAATCCATACGATTATTGTAGAGGTTCCGGCAATTGCAAAGAAACTTGCCAGAAGTTTTAAAGCTAAGAAAAAATTGCAGTCGTCAATTATACAACTTGAAACACTATATGAGTAAAAATTTCAAATAGGAATAAGAATGCACCAAGAAAGAAACTTGTGTTACCAGGAAATAAACACTCCTTTAGTGGCATTGACCATGACAATGACGTATAATCTACCTTCAAACTCTTTCCTGAAAAGAAAGCAATAACTGGCAAGAAATTTGATCACTGTCGATAGAATTAATGGTATTATTGTGATCTAAGAGAATGAAGGAAAATGATTAGTCGTGCGAGAAAAAAACATCAATAAGTGAAATCTAGAAATCTATACAACAATACAAAAACGATACCAAAAAAAGATAAAAATAAGTTAAACAAAAGTTCTAAATAAGGGTTACTATTACTACGCAAATGCAGTATGATTGTTGCAATTCAGAAAATTATAGCCTTGGTTCGTCACCGCACAGCGGCTATTTGGCTCGCTATCGTCAGAATCGAACCACGATTCATGAGATTTCAATTACCACGGTTACAATTAACACCACCTTACATTTATAAATTCCTTTCATCCATCTCTTGTTATGTGCAAGAGGTAAAATATACTACTCTGCATCACATTCACCGCAATTTTTTTGCTTGACAAACAATCACGATATGTAACATCAAAATCAAAATAAAAGAAGATGCACAAATTAATTTGTTATGAAAAAAGATACATAAATCTTAAATAATGAAATGAATAGCATAATGGAAGTGATGAAAATGAAAAGAATGGAAGAGGGATGATTATACCTGCAGTGGGACTCGTGAGAGAAAGGTCGAACCCGAAAGAGATTATTGGTCTGCGTTTGCGGGTCGGGCAATTGGGTTTGGTCTAAACAAAGGGATAGTATTAGTAATTGAAGCTATCAAGGGTTAAACTTTAGTGTCTTATTCACTTTTTTTCTGCCCCATATCACTCTTGTTTGTTTTTTTGTTTTTTTTTTTTATAAATCACATATATTCTGCACACTCAATTGAAGTGACTTTTTTTTAGTAAATTATAAAATATAATTTATGGAAAAGATGTTTATGTAGTTAATGCAAATAAGTTATTTGCATTTATTCTCAAAACGACGTAGTTTTGATATTGAAATCTTAAAAAATTATAAATATAAAGACTATTATAATTCTGAAATAAATTAAAATTACAAAAATATCATGATTTCTGCCCAAAACGACGTCGTATTAAGCTTACTGCAGATAACTTATCTTTATTTGTAGTAACTGCAGAAAAAGCGAACCCATAATTTATATAAGTGAAACTATTTTCATATATTATATCTATATATGAGTTTTTTCTTCAAATTTTTCTTTTTTTAAAATTAATTATATTTTCATACGCTTTATTTTTTGAATGTTTAGATTCTGTTTTATTTGGCTTGACCGAATTTTTTTTAAGAATTTTATAAATCATTAATATTTTTTAAATTTACATCTATCTTCAAATATTTAAATTTTAAAGTTAAAATTCTGATATGCACTCCATACTTAATTAATCAGGGTTAACAGTAACATTGTTCGACTCGGAGGATTTTTTTGTAGTACCATTATCTCCATATTTGAATTTCTTTCATCTTAATATTTTAATTTATCTTCTTTAATCAAAATTCTGATTTGCCTTTTTTATTACTCAAGTTAATATTTATTTTCCCTAAATTTTTATTTTAACCTTGCTCGATTAGTCCAATTTCATATACTACTCTTGTTCCTTTCCTGTTCTATACGGTGTTTAAAAACACGCCTTAGTTATCGGCCAACGTCAAGGGTCGTAGGTTTAATTGGGAGTTCATGGGATGACTTCGCTAATCCGATTTTATAAATTAAAAAAATTAAATATATATCTTATATGAAAAATTTTATAAAAATCAGATCAAATTTATAAAATTAAATATATATTTTATATGAAAATTTTTATAAAAATCAGATCACAGCTATAAAAATTCAAAATATATTTAATATAATTTAATCAATTACATTCACAAGTCAATATTATGAACAAATTCATAAAATCCCATGATATTTTGCGCTTAAACAATTTAAACATAAACATATAATATAATGAACAAAGAGCTATTAGACCACACATGCATGTATAGGTTTAGACTTGAGAGTATGAAATATTAGAACAATACAGCTGAGAGTGAATATCATGATTCTTTGTGGAACTTGCAATTTTCAATGCCTATCTCACCAAATAAGTACTTGCCAATTGCCATACCTGGTTAATTTAGTTAAATACTTTGTTAGGTTTGAAATTTGAAAGTTAATACAATATGTATGTACAACATGTTTCTTTCATCATGAAATCAATATGAATATGAAATCAATATTATTTCTTTCCTCATGAAATCAATATGAAATTGAAAAATCAATATGTATGTACGCTTGTTTAGTTTAAATTTTCCTGATTACCTTGAACAAAAAAAAAGCTAAAATTTGCTGAGATAAAAATCCCGAATGTTTCATCAAAACATATAACCTTAATCTTTTCAATAATATTACTTTATTCTTATTATTAATCCCCGAATTCACAATCCAATACATTAGATCATTAAAGTACAAGATTAATATATTCTTTCTAAAATTAATAAATCCAACAAAAACACAGTAACACCGTGAATTTTAATCGCCAAAACAAAAAACTTCTCATATATCTTTCATGTTAAAATTATTTAACATTCCTTTATAGTCTCAAAATATATACATCGTTACAAGCATGTAAGATATTATCAACATAAAAAAAATGACAAACTTGCTATGCTCTCAACAAATAATTAGGTTTCTTTTAGCCATAACTCGTTCATGATTGGTTCTGTTTTGGAGGGCCCATGTCTTTGAGGCCCAGTGTCGTAGGCCCAAAGTCTCTCCTAGCGTCCATGTCAGCTTTGCTGACCGAAAACTAACAACCCTCCTTCCCTTCTGTTTTCCAGGTGACAGTATCCCCAAGGTAAGACAATAAAATGTCTTACCTTGGGATGTCCACTCTGTTGGAAGGTCTTCCCAAACCCCTAAATGGAAGCTTCCCTCCTACAGAGGTAGCAACAGTGACTGCCACCATCCTAGTAGGAGCAGCATCACTGCAACCACAACAGTATCAGTCATCCTTAACACTCTCCAAGAATAGTTGACCCAGCTCACCTATTCACGTGAGGTGAGCATCTCATCCTCCTATAAATACCCCTCCATCTCCAGGCAATGGGATATCTTATGTATCATCACTCGGTTCATATAAATAAGCCCTAATAGACACACACAGACCCCATCCCCAAAACTCATCTAACTCATACTTGGGACATTGCTGCCTAACTTGTGTGTACCTTTGCTAGCAACATTACCTATATAGTGATCCTTATCCCTTCAAAGGGAATATATTGAACTCGTAGATCCCAACGGTACAGGTTCCTTTAAGCCTTTTAAGTTACTACATAAAACCCCACAAAAAAAGAGCAGTTGAGAAGAAGCAAATATTGTTGATTCCATAGATGTTAATCCAACCACAAAAAGAAGCCCGAGTAAACTGTTATGCAAAGAGAATTCTTAAATTGATGAATATCCTTAATTAGTTCTTTATGCATTTGATTTTTCATACTCGCATGTTTTTTTTTTTTTTTTTGGTATTATCATCACATGTTATTAATAGATAAATTCTGTTAAGATGTACTAGAATTCTTTAAATTTAAAGTCTTTAAACTAAAATTACTTATCAATAATAAATTGTGAGGATTTGACTGCTCAAAAGACACCCTCAAAATTTATTATACATGGATGTATTTTATCATTACCTTAAGACCCCGCTCAACCCTCGCTTTGAAAAAGAAAAATAGAAATTTTGACTTAGTTAATAATGAAATTTTGATAGTGAATTATTTGGAAGCAACAAGGATATTGAAGCTTACCTTAAATATAGCTGTGAAACTTGTTTCCAAAAAGTGAGGCAATAAATTATGGATTAATACACTTATTTTTTATAAATTATTATAATCATTTTTAATTTGAACGAAGTTGACAATCCAGATTCATTAATTCTGTTACAGGCAAATGGGGAATTTCAATTTGAATAAAGTCAACAAAAGAAGAGTCTATCACATTAAAAAAAATTACCGGATGAGGTTATTCTAAATATATTGAGTCAATTTACATATATATATATATATATATATATATATATATATATATGTATATTATCATTAAGTGTAAATGAATTGAGTCAAGGTTAGAGTTTAATTTAAATAGGTTAAAGCATATAAAATATATTAAGTCTTGGACTGTATTAAAAATTAAAAGTCTCCATAAATCTGTTAGCCTATTTAAATCTATTAAGTCTTCAATATTTTTCAAGAATTAAAAACATATTAAAAAGTAAATTTATTAATTAAATTATTTAAATATTTATTTTATTTTTATGAAAATAAATAATACAACTTAGGGTAGCCTATATGTTTGTATATATGGCAGGCTTTGCAAAAATCAGCCAATGACCTATTTTCTAAAAAATGTTTTTTAAGAAGAGATAAAATTGTCTCTTGCATTTCCAAAACGGCATTGTTTTTTGGTTAAAAGTTGAAAATAAATATTATTTTAATAAAATTCATTATACAAAGAAAAATATAAAATTTTCAAAATATCTTTTATTTTTAATCTTAATCTTAAAACAACGTCGTTTGGATTCCAGGGTTACTCTTCAAAATATAAAATTCATTAACGTAATTTCCATTGCTTTAAAAAAAACTGCCCATGGGTTACTCTTCTTAAAATGTTGCTTTGCATGCTGGATTCCATATGCATTTCAATTTCCATACTTGCACATGATTATTGGTAGATAAATTTTGTTATGATGAATTAAAACGTATGAAAAAAATCGCTTAAATGACTCATCGACAATAAATTTTGAGGATTTGTTAGTTACTCTTACATTACAACTTACACAAATATATCTTATAGTTAATCAATGCCGTTATAATCAATATCTTTTACACAGGTCTTATTTAAGTTAAAACCTAGTTTATTTACACTACTAACTGCTGGCTTAACTTCGTCGTTATTGTTTATTTTTCCTTAAAATGGATAGGTTGGTTATCCAGCATGCATATTCAAACTATTTAATAAAAAATATTCAAATCACATCCAAAATTAAAAAGTGGATAAATTTTTTGAATTATTATTATTATTTTTTTAAAAACCTAGCTTTTAACTGATTTAGTTTAATTTTTAAAATGATTTAAATCATTTGAACATTATGCACATGGCTAGCATTACAGTAGTTGGGATTTAAGTTTCAATTTCAAATAATGTTGGTACTGTTTAACCAAAGATAGACTGTGACTGTTGATAAAATGTAACTGAATCTAATGTCTCCTCCATTCCAAACCACTGGCCTTGTATTTAAAATTAAACACCAGAATCTATTCCTATCTAAAATTAAACACCAGAATCTATTCCTATCTTTGTGGAGTCAATCACAGTCTTGTTGTGAACCCACTCAAGCAGGTATATCATAAGGATAAAAAACTGGGCTCAAAGTTCAGAAGTGGGCTCAAGCAATAATAGAAAGGTTACTGAAGTTGGAGGCACAGAGGTGAATGATACTGTACCAGCTGTATGGGATGACAAAAGTGCCCCAACATAATACATGCGTGAAGAGGGCGCCCATAGGGAGGTGCTGAGCATTGAAGGGGGTAACGATAAGTATATCAGAGGATACCAAGGGTTATGGGAGGTGCTGAGCATTGAAGGGGGTAACGATAAGCATATCAGAGGATTTGGTATCTTGGGAGAGAGTAAGACCTCTCCAAGTGTCTCACAGTTATCTTTTTTCTTTTCTGCAGATTTGTTTCTCTTTAATT